GTCTTGACGAGAGGAACACGATGCCGGTAAAAGTAAGCTCGTACTATGCTTGGGTCAAAAGTTATTGCAGAAAAACTGTTTCCGAAAAAAATCGGCTATTTTTGCAGTTTTTGTCCCCTGCAGGCAAAACCGTTGACGTTAGGTCAAATATGAGAAAATTACTCAGAAAGGGCGTTAATAGGGCTATCGAATGCGCTTTTCCGCGGCGCTATAGTTCTATTGGTTCCCGAGTTATGTGTTGGCTTCTTGGAAATTGTCGACATTCGACCTGGAAATCGGCGAAATTTTGCCTTCAATGACCTCTGGTGACCTGACCTTTGACCTGACAAAAAAATTGACCGAAGTGATTTCGTCATTATTTTTGACGCTCTTTCGAACGCCGCCTTCCGCGTATCGCTACGTGGCCCAGGAGCCGAGTTAGAAGGGGGGGTGTTCAAACACCCCCCCAGCAGGGCGTGGAAATCCAGGACCCCCAGCAGGGCGCGGGTTAAAGTGATGTTATGCAAATCTCTGGATATGGGAACTTGGGTAGCTATATGGAATACTTAATGACTTCAGAGGCATGGTCGATGTCAACATCATTAACTAACAATTTCTCTTGTAAAAATGTTAGATCATTGTTCTGGTGAGAAATGAAATGCCCCTTCTTTATCTTTTTTTTTTTGCCTTTGAATTTTAAAAGCATATTAATTTCATGCCAAAACCACCTCTACCTTGACTTTCGATAGTGTTGGATATGGCAGCACACCCTTTCACCGCAAACCGTCCCCTGCTTACTTCACATATGGTGTGCCACATTCAAAACATATCATTTGTCATATGATGTGAGGTACCAGTACGCCATCGAGGCGATCTGCGCCTACTACCGGGGCCCGGGAGGCGTCTCCAATCAGGAGCCCTCCTTCCACGTGATGCCGAGTGCCTCCTGCACTATCAGCTGCCGCTGGGGGACCAGCTGCTGCGGCAGCTGCTAGGACGCCAGCTGCCTGGGACAGCTGCTCAGGATGGCTGGACGGCGACTGCATCCCCCCCCCCCCCACACACACACAGACTGCTACCGCCAGCGGCCAGAGCAGGTTACACCAGCACGGCATTGTAGCCACTCACAGCTCTCTGAGCAGCCGGAGCGTTACCCCGGCAGGCGGTGGGCCTCCTGGCCACCATCCGCGCGGGGGGGGGGCATTTTTTGATCCCCCCCGTATCTCAGAAACTACGGAACGGATCCGTAAAATTCAGACGGTGTTCGATAGCCCTGTCAGATTTGTTGAAGGAAACCAAATTTCATTGACCTCGGGGTAACCAATGACGTCACAGGTCAGGTCTAAGATAAAATGTTTCACCGTTCACGGGTCTTCTAGGGAATGCGCTATAACCAGGGGTGCGGAGCCGGAGCCGGAGCTGGAGCCGGAGCCGCCGGAGCCGGCATATTTTGCCCGGAGCCGGAGCCGGAGCCGGAGCCGTGAAACAATATAGCCTGGAGCCGGGACCGGAGCCGGAGATGTCAAAAACGCAGCGACTCCGGCTCCTTTTTTGAAGAGGAAAAAAATATCGACCTAGTTCGGTTTGACAGTACAAACAAGGCAGTAAAACATGTGGTATTCAAAATAGCCTTGTTATGCAAATACAGAAGCAACGTGAACCAATCCCTTCGTCTTTTCTTCCACCCGTATTTAATTATATAGACGATGTACTGAGTGCTGGAGCCGGAGCCGGAGTCGGAGCCGCCGGAGCCGGACCATTTTACTCGGAGCCGGAGCCGGAGCCGCCATGACATTTCACCCGGAGCCGGAGCCGGAGCCGGAGCCGATTTTTTTCTCCGGAGCCGGAGCCGGAGCCGGAGCCGTCTGAAATTTCCACGGCTCCGCATCCCTGGCTATAACACCGAATAAAACGCATTTTGTCGAAAATCAGCGATAGGGCGTCAGTTGCCTAGTACATATGTTGCTAGTAGAGTCACTGATAATACCAGGTCAGGTCACAGGTCAGGTCACCAAGGGTCAGCACATGAACCCAACGTTACTAAGGTTCTGCGATGCAAGTTTTATGGCCAATTTTTCATTTCTAACTCAATGGTGTTGGTCATAAGACTATCAGGTACGGTTTAGGTCACTTTCTGGTGGAGGTTAGGTCACGATCAGGAAAAAAGGTCAAATTTCAAAGTTGATAGTTTTGCATAAGTGGGTATTGATTCGATGCAACTCGTCACGGGGAGTCTAGATGACCTCAGGTCACCCGAACTTGGAAATCCTTGATGACGGGGGCGCCAACACAGGTCGAGCTGCTCCCGAAGATGTGCCGAAGATGTCCGAGGCGATCTTCCAGCAAGACGGTGCTTCAGCTCATCACGCCACCAGCACTCAACGGTGGTGCTAGGACAACCTCCGAAGGTTTTGGGAGAGGGGAGTATGGCCGGGCAACAGCCCCATGACCTGTCGCCCATCGAGAACGTGTGGGCTATCGTGCAGAGCGAGCTCGACATGATGGAGCCGGCTACCACCGAGCAGGCGCATATCAGGAACCTCCAGCGAGCGTGGCTCAGCATTAGTGCAGAGACACTGTATAACCTGATGTGTGGCATGCCCGACCGTATGAGGGAATGTGTGCGATTGGGTGGAGGGTATATCTGTAAATAAACCATGACCCATGCATGGTTTCTTTCCTTGTAAAGTGGACTAGAAGAGTGCGCAATCAATTTCCGGACACCCTGTACAACTCGGAAAGCTTAGCATATCCTGCCAGTTTGAATCAAATCGATGAACAACTCTATATTTCATTGACAAAATGACGTATTTTCAATACCATTTTGACCATTAACCGGTTTTTTGTGACTTTGTGACCTGACCTGACGTTATTGGAACACAAAACTCCCAGGTCACACTTCAAAGGGCTGCCCCAAGTTGTGTCTGGAGTTTGGTGGCGCTAAGTCTTACGGTTCTTACGCTACAAACGATAAACTCAGCGATTCTGTTGCCGCTAATATAGTCCAACTTTACCGTGACATTGTACCGGTTTTGGTGACCTGGTGACCTGACCTGAAACGGCAGAGACCTGAAATTTTCAGGGAAGGTATCAAAAGGCTGCTTTAGAGGGTATGCAAGATTTGCCCCCCCCCCCCTGGGAGCGTCGTAGAGCTTAGCGGAAAAGACCAACGGATTGCTCTCAACGAGATCTCGCGATTGGTGGTATATTTTTGGTCCTAGGTCAACATTTGACCTACTTATGACCGGTCAAAGGTCAAATTTTCGGAAAAATCTAACTTTTTCAGATTTCCGCGCCGATTGCGGCAAAACGGTAAGAGATATCGACTTAAAACCTTCACTATCGTGATCCTTGATCAATTCTCTATCGTTTGGTATATATTTTGATGTCATAACTCTAAAAATGATGCGTTGGGAGCATCGGAAGTCTGCAAGGTCATTTGTGCATTGGGTCACGTCAGGCGTGTGACGTCACTGACCTGACCCTGACCCAAAATGAACTACAAGAAACAGCCGACGATGCCTGAAATGGATAGCAAATTCGAATTCAGGGCATCAAAATACCCCGAAAAGGCATACAAGTGCAAGAAGTCATTACAGGTCAACCGAGGTCACTGACCTTACCTTGACCTTTAGTAACATTAAAAATGTCAACGGACATTGTGCTAATGTCAAATCAGCCAGTTGTGATTCTAAAACAATCCATCCGTGTGTCAGGTCAGTCGGCATTTATACCAATGTGAAGCAATCTCCAATTTAGCGTAAATCTGGCCGGAGGTTGTTCCCTTTATGACGTCATAACTCCGTGATCTGACATGACCTTGACAAGAAAAAAATTACCAAAAGTTGCGCAAAGGATGCCCCAAAGGGTACTGAAAATTTGAGCAGGCTATCTGAAACGGTTCGGCGTGTAGCTAAGAAAAACCTCAGGGAGGGGGGGGGGGTTGCACCAACCCCCCTACATGGGCGAGGGTTAAAAGTGACCTATTTCCCTGTGAAATTTCACGTTTTTCCCTGAAGCCTTTCATTCGCATGCAACAGCTGAAAATGCCTTCAGACGGCACGGACGACAAATAATTGTATCTCCAAAATTAGCTTTTGAATTTTGAACTCGGACGGACCGATGGGATATATGCAGAGCCCCTCTCCCTCCCCTCCCTCCCTAATCATTCATGTTGTAGAGATACCCCAGTCATGCGTAGATTGACACACTCACTCAGTCATCTGTCAACTGATGTATTGTGTTGGTGTTGTGTGTAACAAAAAAAAAAACGAATAAATCAATCTCAGGTTTCTGTGAAAAGCTAAAATCGAACAATGATAGTAATAATAAAACACATTTCCACACAGTCCCGGCCTGTAGTTCAGTTTGCAGTCGTGTCGCCAGGCGGAGGTTGTGTAGGTATGTGTATCCTGTCGCGGGCCCCTCCGCCGACTGGTGACACACACCAGACCTCTGCTCTGCCACAAACAAACACGGGACACTCGGAGACGCTACCAGTCGGGTGGATTCCGCGCCGTGCCGTCGTCGTGTTCCGTCTGTAATACGCTGCTGTAGGAATACGGTGCTATAGGCTATGTAAAAAGGGATGGCTAGCAGACGAGCTCAAATGAAATATTGGATTCACTTTACTGGTGCTGGCAAACTGAGGGATTACCGTTACTTGATAAACTAGAAATAGTTGTGAGAATAGTAAATGAATAAACTAGAAAACTAGAACAAAGTTGTGAACAACGTTTATATCGAATGATGTGAACAATTTAGCTAATGTTCTAGTGTAGCTATGCTAGCATGCATCCGTTTAGAGCTGAACTGTTGAACAATGAACAGGTACTGCGGTATGCACCACCACAAACACACGTTCGAGTCACCCGTAACCTTTAAATCAGTCTCAGGCGACCAATGATGGACCTCAACCCGTGTGACGTCAGCCTGGACTGCCGGCGGGCCGGGCATTGTGTGCCGCGGGTACGGGCGCGGCCCGGTGCCGCTATATAACCCCCCCTCGCCCGCGTCCTCTCGAACACCGCCGCCGCCATGAAGCTGCTTCTGTTTGTCTGCGTGTGTGCGCTGGTGGCTGCCGAGCCGCAGCCGGGCGTCCCGTCGACGCCGCAGCTGGCCGGCGTGCTGACCAACCTGTACCGGCGCTTCCTGCACACGGTGGCCCCCAAGCAGCTCGAGCTGCAGGATGCGCTCGATATAAAGTGGAGCGATGGATTCCTCGCAGGACCTGCCTTCTATTCTCCGGTAGGCTCATTGAATTAACTCGTCAGCTGGTTGGACGTTTGAAAGACCTGTTTTCAGTTAGGATAGCCTATTAACCCTCGCCCGCACATGGGGGAGGGGGGTGGTTGCAACCCCCCCCCCCCAGGCAGTCTTTCTGCTCTGCACTCAACATTTTTAGAGCTAGAAGGCTGATTTTTCGTATAGCTGCTCGTCTGTCCTTTCTTGATGTCCACTGAAAGTTTCAAGTTTCTGTGATTTTTGGTTTCGGAGATATGACCTTGTTTTTCAGGTCATGTCATGACCCAAATGGCCAATTCTCAACATCTTGTGTTTGCCATGGGCCTTGTGAGCTTTTGACACCCTGATTTCGGCCTTTTTTGCCAGTCTTTCCTCCCACCTATCATGGAACATGTTTTTCGACGATGTACAGTCTGTCTTAAAAGTACCGCGCAAAGTGACGGTGGATCCATCAAGCCTGACCGAGGAAGGGCCTGCTATAATTTGAAAGTCACCGAACCAATGGAGCTGGGGAATGGACGAGGATGTCCATTGCTTCGGTGACTCAAATTTGGCAGTCCTTCATCGGTCAGGCTTGATGGATCCACCGTCACTTTGCGCGGTACTTTTAAGACAGACTGTACAGGGGTCAAGGTCAGGGTCAAGGTCAACCTAGGTCATCTAAGATAATTGCGTTTTAGGCAAGCTGAATTTACTTTTTGTGAAATTTTTTGACTGCATTTTTGGTAAAAGCTTCTCAGATCATGATTTCATGTGATATGGAGCCAAAAACAATCGGTGCACACATCAGTATACACACAGACACACACAGACATACAAACACATGTAATTGACCTTGACCTAACTTGACCTGAAATGACCTCAGCAGCAAAATTCTGGTCGGATAGTGTGACAAAGAGGTTCTAGCTGGCTTGGCACCAGAAAACAGCATCGTCATCGGTATTTGATAAGCAGCGCACTTGATATCCAACGGTGACCCAAAACAGCAACATTTTTTTGTTTGACCTGACCTGGAAGGTCAATGACTGACCTGAGAAGGTAAAACTGGGTATCATTGGATTCGTCTCTTCCCAAAGAATCTTTTTGGTCTTTACTGCTAAGCTCTATCTCCAACAGGAACGAAATGGCGCGGGGGGGGTGGCAACCCCCCCCCCCCATGTGCGTTCTAGGATGGGAAAATGGCATGTGCGGGCGAGGGTTAACGGCTCGGCTTTGAACGATAATGAAACATTAAAGCAGGTAGGAAAATTTCACGTAACTCGTAAAAAATAAGGTCCTAGGTCATCTCAGGGCATGAGTTATTAAGTTCAAACTAAGGTCCTGTTCATCCATTTACAATCGAGCTGTTCACAAAAAAAAAAACGGAGAAAATCATCCTAGAAACTTTTTCGACCTTACTATGACGTTATAAGTCAAAGGAAGGTGACCAACGAGGTTACTGTGGCTGCAAATGTACATATGAGCTGCCCTCATAGCTGCTCTAATATTTACAATCCAGCATGTCATTCCATACGATTCAGGCATGTGTCTTGTGATTGGTCAAGCGAGACTGATGCCTCTCGTGACCTCACAGGTCATCATCCATTTAGATGACCATCCATTGGTGGGATCTATGATGTTCATTGTTCATCCTTTTTAGTCTCATTTTAGAAATTAAGGTTTACTTTTATAACCGAGTCTCGTCATTAAAAATTGAGCATATTTGACTTTGATTGACCTTTCTGCGACGCCAGAGGTCAAAAATCGATGTCACCGCGATAGTGTATTGTGCATCTTTAGATATTTCGAATGTCGTTTGAATTTTATCTGATCCGACCATTGGCTCCGGAGAGACCATCTGCCCCCCCCCCCCCCAACAGGACATGAAACATACCGGATCCCAACGGGGCACGGGTTTAGTTAGTCAAAGGCAAATAACTTTGGAAGTAGTGTTAAGATCGAAAATCAGATAAACGTCTTCCCACTTCACCATTCACCGTAGACAAGTGCCAAAACAGCCGCAGTCAGTTTTTTATACCTAATTTAACCCTCGCCGGCCGAGGGGGGGGCGGGTGCCGCCCCCCCCCCCATAGGGTTTTTTCGCGATAGCTCCGAACACGCTGGCGATAGAGAGCTGAAACTTGGCATACCTGACCTTTGATCCAAGCCGCATCTTTTGACACCAACCGCATTTTTGGGTCAGGTCAGGTCACTGACCTATGACGTCATAAGTGAACCTCTGCACGGTCTTCAGATGTCGCAACTTCGCAACGCCCTCACTGCCAGAGGAGATGTCACAGGGAAATGAAACTTGCAGGATCTAGTATCTATAATGAGTCTCACAACTTGTATATCTCGGATTTTTCCTAAAGGTCATATGAGGTCAGGTCATTTTCGTGACCTCACCATTATAAGTCAATGGGGAAAAATTCAAACTGCTATTCTGGCGCCGGGAACGATCTCCAACTATCTCAAGCACACAGAATCGTGATTTTATGCACTCCTTGCAAGGTTAGATGCGTCACTTTTGCAATGTTGACCTTGCGTGACGTCATTTATGACGTCATCAAGGTCATATTAGTTTTTCGTCAATAACTCTTGATCACATTGAGCTAGCGAGCCGGGAAAGCCACCAATGGACTCAGGAAGACCTGCCGAATCGAATGATATGCGACATGACCCCTTTCGACCAACTTCGTGACCTGGGGGTGCTGACCTGACCTTGACCTGAGGTCAACACCCCAAGTTGACCTGACCCGGACAAAAAGTATATCATTCGACGCGCCTGAGCGAGACGAACACGATGCTGCCAAAATCGGCGCTCTGCGGCCGTTTTTTGCGAAGTTATTCACCAAACACTGAACCGTACCTTGGGGCACTTGACCTGACCTCAGAGGTCACCGGTTGACCTAGGACCTTAAAATCGGGTACCAATCTCTGCGTCTCGTAACGGCGCACACGCTCGTTTTTTCCGCGACGCGCTAGCTCCACCAGGGGCGAAACGGCGAGGGGGGGGTCGTACCCGCCCCCCCCCCCTCGGCCGGCGCGTATGTAGAAAACCAATAGGTCCGGCGAGGGTTAAATATTGTCTTCTAGTGCTTCTTTGATGGTGATGACATGATGGCACATACCACTTGCATTGGATGGATAGCCGCCCTACAGCATGATGGAGTTTGTAACTATTTCTTATCTTTGGATTATTCCGTTAGTTTTATACATTCATATTTTATATCCATGGCCTTTTCCGATCAAGTTTCTTTATTGACCCTCGCCCGCACTTGCCATTTTCCCATCCTAGAACGCACATGGGGGGGGTTGCCACCCCCGCGCCATTTCGTTCCTATTGGAGATAGAGCTTAGCGGTAAAACCAAAAGATTCTTTGGGAAGAGACGAATCCAATGATACCCAGTTTTACCTTCTCAGGTCAGTCATTGACCTTCCAGGTCAGGTCAAACTAAAACATGTTGCTGTTTTGGGTCACCGTTGGATATCAAGTGCGCTGCTTATCATATGTATACCGATGACGATGCCGTTTTCTGTTGCCAAGCCAGCTAGAACCTCTTAGTCACACTACCCGACCAGGTTTTTGCTGCTGAGGTCATTTCAGGTCATGTTAGGTCAAGGTCAACGATATGTGTTTGTACGTCTGTGTGTGTCTGTGTGTATACTGATGTGTGCACCGATTGTTTATGTGTCCATATTACATGAAATCATGATCTGAGAAGCTTTTACAAAAAATACAGTCAAAAAACTTCACGAAAAGTAAATTCAGCTTGCCTAAAATGCAATTATTTTAGATGACCAAGGTTGACCTTGACCCTGACCTTGACATCTGTACATCGTCGAACAACATGTTCCATGATAGGTGGGACGTAAGACTGGCAAAAAAGACCGAAATCAAGGTGTCAAAAGCTCACAAGGCCCATAGCCAACGCAAGATGTTGAGAATTGGCCATTTGGGTCATGTCATGACCTGAAAAACAAGGTCATATCTCCGAAAACAAAAATCACAGAAACTTGAAATATACAGTGGACATCAAGAAAGGATAGAGGAGCAGCTATACGAAAAATCAGCCTTCTAGCTCTAAAAATGTTGGATGCAGAGCAGAAAGGCTACCTGGGGGTGGCAACCCCCCCCCCCCCATGTGCGGGTGAGGGTTAAAGCAAAACGTCCCATATCATTGCCCACCAAAATAATGGTTTAATTAGTTGTTAGTTACTGCGCAAGAACAAGTGCATATTCTTGCACCATACTTTCGCTGTTACCTTCTTTATTGTCCCTCCAACAGATCAATGCCACTTTTGACGGCAAGGAGAGAACTGCGTTCTCCTTCATCAACTTTCTGATCAACCCAGGACAGGCGGGCCACCTCGGCCAGGGGAGCTGGGTGAAGAACGACGTCTCCGAGGTGGTTTTTATGTACCACTACGGAGCAGCCGTGAAGGTATGGTCCACTCCGGGACGCACTTTTCCAGACTGAATCAGTTGGCATGGTCAATAGTTTTCAGAGTTCAGTTGTGATTGGCGAAGTTGCATGATGCCTTACTTTTCTGCAACGTGGTGGTTAACTAGCGCTAGACGATGAAAACTAACAATGGCTAACGAAAAAAGAGCTAGTTGTTCAGCTGTATTTATTTATCGTTTTGAGATTGGTTCGTTGTTCACAAATGAATCGTACGAAAATTTTGGTTTTACAGAAAAATGGTAGGAAGAAACAAAAGTTAGAAAGAGATTTTGTTCCATTTTTGCTTGGAATTACGATCCCATTGATCTTAACATTATTGATGGCAGTCTTCCTCATCTCGTTCACTGCATTCTCCACACAGTTTCTGTTTTAACCGCAGGTGCATCTGATCTCCGAGGACGGCAGCTACAGAACGGAGGTGATGGGAAACCCGCTGGATCACAAGGGCTCCCAGTTCCTGGTATACGTGCCACGGGCCACCTACAGCGTGTTCGAGTCGCTGTCGAAAGACGAGGCCACCTTCCACTCCTACATTGACATACCAGGTGAGTGCTCATGGTGACAGGGTCACGCACGCTACGCGGAGGCGATTATTGCTCACTCACACACGTGACTTTGGACAGTGGCCTGAAAATGTACGGGATACAATTTGTCTTCCCTCTTGAGGAAACGAGCGATTTTTAACAGAAGGCCGTTTTGGTGTGTTTAGGGAACGACTCCAACGATGAATATGCTTCGAATGAGGTGAGCTAGCAGAAATTTAAGCTCAAGCGTTATAAAATGATACAGTTGATGACCGACTTGCTGTCTTTCTTGCAGCGTGGTCCAGGGAGCATCACCAGGAGTTTTCTGCCGAGGAGATGGCGACCACCTTCCCTCAGCACGCGCAACTGTTCCATCACCTGGCCAAGCCGGGACACCACGGCGACACTGCCCGACGTTAGACCTGGGGACAGCCGCGGCCCGCCGTCACTGATGTCGCGCTGCAGGCACCGTCCTGACGCCACTATCCTGCGCTGATGGCGACTGTATCATGGTGAAGGTGGTTTGACCTGTAGGCTGTGGTCTGTTACACCAGCTAGAGTTTTATTCATGAATAAATAAAAAGGAAAGGCGGTGTAGTAGTTGGCACGCCCTTTCATAAATGAAACACATCTAAGCTTCCAATATATTTGTTACTGATGAACCATATTCTGGTCACGTGAAACATCCTCGCTCCCTTGCACCTCGCAGCTGTAGATAATATGATAGGCATAACTTTCTACATAAAGGAAATGTTTTAAGGTGCATATTGAGCAAACGCTGGCACAGTCAATGACTACGTTTCCATGACACGTCTAATTCGATTTAGCGAAATTTCACGTGCATTTTTCTCGGAAACTATTACCTTATGCAAAAAATGAGCGTATATATGGTTTTAGCTAGCACCTTATCCTATACTTATATTTTAAAATCATGCCTAAATGCTATGATGGAGCAAATCCAGTTTTCAAAATCGGCTTAGCTTGTGCCATGGAAACGTAGCCAATATAATAATCAGATTAATGCCTGCAAAATATCGATTTTCTAATATGGTCCGTCAGTTTGGGTTTTACATCTTATGTGTTTGAAGTTGATAGCTTTCGGTCAAGGCTTAAACTTTTTTTTTTTTTACTGGCGTGTCAGCAATTTTTTAAGATTTCCCGTTCACATAGGCAGTTCACGATGAAAAACTACACGTAGGTAATACGGCGCAGAGCTGAGAATCAACGTGCAATATCCACTGGATAAAACTGATAAATTAAAAAAGCGAAGAGAGTCTCTTAATAAGAATGCTCATTTTGGCTGCATCTTGCACGTTGTTTACATAGAAACCAGCCCCGCGGGAGCCCCGTGGTCTGATCATTATCGCATGTTCATGGCAAACCAGGCATCACGAGAGCTGACTGTTGCCAAAATCCTGATCAAACGCAGACCAACACGGATGCCATCACGATGTGTACTTTATGCACATGACAACAGGCCGGCGTGTGGGTTGAGCTGCGGCCAAAGATCGGGGCCCGCTCACTATATAACCCCCCGGCCCGGAGCAGTGGTGCACTCCTCTCACTCGACGCCATGAAGCTGCTCCTGTTTGTCTGCGTGTGTGCGCTGGTGGCCGCCGAGCCGCAGCCGGGCGTCCCGTCGACGCCGCAGCTGGCCGGCGTGCTGACCAACCTGTACCGCCGCTTCCTGCACACGGTGGCCCCCAAGCAGCTCGAGCTGCAGGATGCGCTCGACATCCACTGGCGCGAGGGCAAAATGGCCGGGCCCCGCTTCGTGTCTCCGGTAAGTTCGAAAGGCCCAAAATTAGAATACAGACTTGCTGTTCTGGACTGAACGGATTTTCGTTCATATGTGCGGTGATATGCATGGGTCAAACTTGAATTTCCACAGCATCAATCTGTGGCTATCTTCACGTTCCTTCATCACTGGCACACATAGGATGTGTTTATTGTGTATCAGCTTCATTCAAGTGTCAGCGATAACAACGCAGTGTTCTAAACTGTTTCGTCTTTCTGCCGTACGACAGGTCAAGGGAACCTTCGACGGTGTCGAGGAGCCGACCTTCTCCTACGTGAACAACATGATCACCCCGGGTCAGAAGGGCTTCTTCGGCCGGTGGACCAAGCACGAGACGTCGGACCTGCTTATCACCTACCACTACGGCGGCTCCGTCAAGGTGAGGAAACGGACGCGCTTCTCAGGGAGAAAGACGCCCAAATGCTCTAACGCTCTCTCTTAGTTACATGTATAGCACTGTATCGTTGTTTCGCATTGAAAAGAAGTTTTATAGTGAATTATGACAGTTTCTGGCTGGAAAACATCGAACAGACTGAAGGGACATTCTACTGCGGTGTCCTAAATTTTCGGCATAGATTCATAACAATGAAGTGGACGGAGGCCCACTTGTTTAGGCTGTGGTTCCGCGACGATGCAGGACAAGCTCTGGTGAACCGGCACCCAGGCCGTCATTCAGAGTCATGTCCTTACAGGGTACACATGACACAACGGACACTAGTGAAAACTGTATTACTTATGACAAGTGTCACTGACATCTGGGGAACGTTTAAAAAAACGCTAACAGCGTTTTCTTGCACAGCTACTTGATATTTGTTATACCCATATAAATATTTAATGACTACTTTCGTGAGTAAATAATTGCAAGAGTCTAGGATTTCTCAACAATCTCCTCTCCCTTCTCAGGTTCACATGCTGACGTCCGGTGGAATTCACAAGGAGGTTATCCTTGGCAACCCCATCTACCACAAGGACCACTCCGCCAAGTTCAACGTCATGGTGCCCAAGAACACGTACTGCATCTTCGAGTCCCTCTCGGAGGAAGAGTCCACCTTCAGCTCCTTCGTCGCCGTCCCCGGTAAGGAAGGATTTCGACCTGCGTATTAGTACATTTTCCTTTTTGCTTTTGACCAATGTGAGAACAGAACGATTATCATCTTCATCTTAGAAAGACAGATATTATTTTGATGATTATTTAAGTTGCCTTGGGCAAGATGCATAAGTTGAAGCTTCCAGCACCGTTGTTCTAGCGTGGAAAGAAAACTAAGCAGTTTGCCTGTAAAATATGTGTTGAAGTGCACAGCAAAGCACGAGAAAGCATCGCCATTCATCAAATGATTTTGTTTTGGTATCTAGAGAAGTTTGGTTAGTTTGCACTTCCCGCGGCCTCCAACACTATGTTTTTTAATCAGTTCAGTCTTTGACACGCCTTTCTCGTTCCTCGCAGCCTGGGACCCGACTCACGCTCACTACTACACCGAGAAAGAGATGGAGGTCAAGTTCCCCGCCTTCACCGAGCTGTTCCACGAGCTCTCCAAGCCCGAGGTGCACCACGAGGATGGCTATTTCGAGGAGCACGGTCACTACAATGAGGAGCACGCCGAGCCCGAGCACCACGGATACCGCAGACGCTTCCGCGGTCGTCAGGGCAAGGGCAACTTCTTCTACTAAAGGATAACTGTTCACTGAGTGCAACTCTTTTACTGGTTAAATTGTGAATCCTGTTCAATTTAAACGCTCATTTTTGTCGGTTGATAAGTGCGTTGTGAGGTGCTGCAAATACATGTATATCTGCATGACAATATCTATGGAATCCGAATGTGATCGAAGAGCGCAGTCTATAGCACTGAATGATATTACACTGTAGCACTGAATAGTGAATACTGAATTTTTATTACACTTCCCGCACCCAACTTGGTGCGGGGGAAGGGCCCTCCCGTTTTTCTGCGATAACTTCTCAACCGCTTGACGTATCGCCGCCAAACTTTAAGTACCTTCGGCTGCATCAATTTGACACCTTTTGTTAAAATTTGAACTTCATATCTATCATAGGTCGGCTGGAAATGACGTCAGAGTAACGTCATGTTCGGCCGATTTCGACGCAAAACATTGAACCAGTAAAACGCCTTTTGGGCGAAGAACGAGCGAGCGAGATAGTGAGCCCTGCACGTGCGGAAGGGCGAGAGGGTGCTTCCAACGGGCTTGCGCAAAGCACCCTTCTAACTGGTCGCTAGCAGTGTGCCAAATTTGAACGCAATCGGCCCAGCCGTTCCTGAGACCTGGAAGCGGCATTCTGCACGTGCGCACGTGCAAACGGAGTCCAAAATGACTTTTGCACGGCACCCTACTAACTGGTCCCCAACCGTGTACCAAATTTGAGCGCAATCGGCCCAGCCGTTCTCGAGATCTGGAAACGCCCCCTGCACGTGCGCACGTGCAGTAGCACCCTAACCGCAACACATGGGAATGCATTGCCTGGTGAGTGCCTACTGCCTACCTGTATGCCAAGTTTCAGCGAAATCGCCCCAGTAATTACCGAGTTACTGAAATGGGAACAAATTTGGCCGCTTATTGTTGTATTTTGCACGTGCACTGGGTGTGACCCACATGCATCGAAAGTATCCTATTTTGGGTAGAAGGGATGCTGCTACCCTATAAAAATTACCGCAAGTAAATCGCCCAAGCGGCTGCTGAGATATGAGCCTCTCAAAATCACTACTTTTGCAAAACAGCTTGAACACCCTTGACTTTTCACGTGGCACGTGCCACGGCGGTCACTGAGATGTATCAAAAGTAGTCAATTACGGGGTAGAAGGGATGGGGCTACCCAACAAAAAAGACCGCAGGCCAATCGGTCCAGCGGTTGCTGAGATATAAGCCTCTTAAAAGCGTTACAGGCCGGGCCGGGCCGCTCATACTGAGATTTTTCCGTTATATTGAAAAGACTCACTTCGCTCGCTGCGCTCGCTCGCTCGTAACCACGGGAGTCGCTCCCAAGAGCTCAGTTTTTAAGCTAGATCCAATTTCTTTGCATAAGAGGACTCAGCATGGTCTGCGCTATCAAACAGGTCTCGGAATTTCAAAATTTTGAAAATTCTGAAGATTATATACCTATATTATAATTCGAAATTTGTTTTTTACCTCTTTCATTTTTTTTTGCCTTTTCGAACAAAAAAACAGAATAGGTATACCTATATGATCGAACACATGCTTATTACTTACTCTAGCAAATTTTAGTCAGATATATTCAAAAATGGCCAAGTAATACGTACGCATTACACCAAAAATTTCACACAAAAAATTGAAATCAATTTTTCAGTACGAATTTGACATCATACACCGATATAAATAGCACCATCATGCTCCTGAGCTCAAACTGCATCCGATAAATATGTTTTTTTTTGTTGTTGAAAAATGCCAACTTAAAAATTTGACCTTTTATGACCTGGAAGTGGCCTGACCGAAGCTAAATTCAACTCAAAATGACTTTGAATGACATAAATGATATCGAATTCGATATCTATGGCCTAAGTAGACCATAAAACATGTGTCACGTGACCGAATTATGATATCAGATTTCCGTGACCTGTGATGACCTGAACCTGACCTGAAAATCAAAGTACAAGTTTGGTACCCTCAGGGTATCTGAAGCATCTGTTCACGAGTGTGTAAACAAAAAACCAGTCTGATCTGACTTGTAAGACGACAGCCAGAGCCCAAAAGGTAAACAAGCCAAACATCGATAGTTTTTACTTTGACCTGACCTGTGACGTCATCGGTGACCTCGAGGTCAATGAAATTACGTTTCGCTTGGCAGTTTCTCCGGGGCTATCAGATGCCGTTTGAATTTTGACGATCGGCCCAGTAGTTTCGGAGTTAAGAGGGGGGCTCTGAGTAGCGCTCCCCCATCCCCCAGTAGGGCGCGTTTTCACAGACCCCAGTGGGGCGCGGGTTAACCCTCGCCAGACCTATTGGTTTTCTACATACGCCCCGGCCGAGGGGGGGAGTAGTAAAGTAATCTTGGGGAGTACGACCTGAGTACGACCTCGCCCCTCGCCGTTTCGCCCCTGGTGGAGCTAGCGCGTCTCGGAAAAAACAGCCGTGTGCACCGTTACGAGACGTAGAGATTGGTACCCGATTTTAAAGGTAGTGTGCCAGCTTTCTTGGACCGTATGGAGTTAATGGCCCAGATAAGGAGAACCGGATTTTTAGAACTTATCCATACCTTCAAAACTCATGGAAACGTCTTAAATTCTTCAAACTTTGAGCACCCCAGTGCGAAATTCGCCCCGACGGGTTGTCGGTCGTATCCCAACCACATTTCACACCACTATGAACAATAAATGCACACACTGAAATCGCTATTACCGATATGCTCATCCAATCAAGTTTCGATAAACCCGTTCATCATCAGCTCCTGCGGTTTCGAACACGCCTGTTAGGTGGTGCGGTAGACCACGCCCAAAGCCAGGGCCCCGGTAACGTGAGGTAGCCGAGTCAGGGCAGCGTGCGCTGACCCAAGCCGGAGCCGCGCGTCCTCCCGGTGTCATGTGATAGCCCGGGGCTGCCCGCGGGGATGCGGTAGACCGCGCCCAAAGCTGCGGCCCCGGCTTGGGTCAGCGCACGCTGCCCCGACTCGGCTACCTCACGTTACCGGGGCCCTGGCTTTGGGTGCGGCTTCTGCTCATACTTTGTGGTGCGGTGGTGGTGCGTCGGGCTGCGCGCTCTGACTTCGGCCAAGAAAAATGCGTCAGCTGATCATTGTCATTTCTGCCACTTGCGTGTGGTGAAATGGGGTCATAACTTATAAGACGGCTTTTTCATATCAATTATTTTACATAAAATCATATTTCAAACCATAAATAATGTTCGACAGCCAAATAAAAGAAACAATACCAATACGGGCTTACAGTTTAAGGCTCGGCATTGTGTTGTCTACGATTAGACAGCTGATAACTCATTCCCGTACGTCGTATGGTCGTAACACTATAATGACCTTTGCTTATTGTCACAAGTGCGCCGCATTCGCGATTGTTGCCCGACGCCTGTTTGCAGGTGAGCCCATAGAGATATGTATATATCTCTATGGGTGAGCCCACTACAGTTGTTATACATATCTAAAAACCGATAAACTTTTAGGCCAAAAAGGCACTATTCCAGGCCCATTTTTGATTTTTTTTGCGATATTAGGTAAAAACAGAAGCTTCTTATCCTAGGAAAAATAAAATGGGAAATCTTTCAAAGGTGGCACACTACCTTTAACCCTATTCCTGGCGGGGGGGGGGCCTCAGGAGCCCCCCCCCCCTGAGGTTTTTTGGTTATTTCTCCCAAACGCGTTGAGCTAGGAAGCTCAAATTTTCTGACTTTTCCTAAAAGGCTTCTACGCAACATGTCTGAAAATTTTGAGTTGATCTGACCTCAGGTCAGGTCACCAGAGGCGGTTTGGTGACCCTACCTCAGAAAAGTTTGCAATCACGCCAGAGCTAGAGTTTTTGACCGATCAATTTCTTCTCTTCAGGGTTTAGTTAGGGTACCAGTATGTGCAATTTGTATATCTCGGAATTTTGATATCGGTGACCTAAGGTCAGGTCAATTTCGCGACCTCCCCATTATAAGTCAATGGGGGAAAAATCAACTCCCTGTTTTTACCACTAAAACGGGTCGGAATGGCCCCATATACCATACATGACTTCATATACGATCAACCTTCACTACCTTGAGGTCTGTTTTGCTGTTGGGCAGCTGTGAGGTCATGTGACGTCATCAAAGGTCACCAAAGATTTTTGGCCAATACACTGAAAGAAAAAATGACACCCTGTACGGGGTATTGACGGTCATGTCAAAAATAACACCCGAGTGGGGTGTTTTGAGGGGAGTCGCTGAGCTATTATAAATGGGGTGTTTGGCGTACACCCCAGGAAGGTTTCGACGCATAGTGGGGAGTCGCAGCCGCTAAAGGGGGGTCAGCGCCGGCCCACATGGGGTTCCGTTAGACTGCAGGTGACACCCCTCAAATATCAGCCGAGCACCCCTTTTTGGTCCCTAAGCACCCGACAGGGTGTCAAACTCCCAAATTAGGGTGTAAAATATAGCAGCTCAACTCCCCTATTTTTCTGATATAATTCGCCATGTTGTTCCTGACCCCCACGCCGGGAACCGCGCGTCGTCAGCAGGGAATCTCTCAGAGAAGTTTCACTCCCCTATACTTCCGAAAAACTCTCTGCGAGGATTAAATGTCCTTCGGAACGAGAATCTCAGACTATATTTATAACCGGGTGAGGAGTTACTCTTTCCGTTCGCGGCCTTGCGGCGCCCTGTAGTGTGCACGACCAACGTATGTCACGGTAATCAGTCTAGATATCATCATGATATAGTTGGCCACTCTACGCTATGCACGCTTTTGCCTTAGCTCCAAACATGCACCAGCCATTCGTGAAAAACAGGTCCCGATTTTACCAACTTTAGTTTGCGCCATCTATCGGTAGGATTTGAAGCTGAAAACACGGGGTGTCACTCCAGGATAATGACACCCCAGAGGGGTTTCAACGGGGGTGTCTCAGCGACACTCCAATTTTTTGGCCTGCAATTTTTGGGGAGTTCGCTAGCCGAACCTCTCCCAAGGGGGTCATGTACATTTTTGCGGCGTCAAAAGGTAATGGGGCTCCCGTGTCGGGTGTCACAACACCCATGACATCCTAAAATCATGAAAACGGAGCCTAATTTAGGAGTATTTTGGAGTATGTGGTGTCAGATTGTAAGAAATGGGGTTCCCCGATTTTTTTCAGTGTAACTCCGTACA